GTACGCCTATAAAGAAAGGTAAAAACACGTGCTTACCGATTGTCCTCTCTGTACGCCTGAGTAGTTATATGAGGAAGTTCCAAAAACTTCGCAACAAACGCAATAAACTTCACAAACAAAAAACTTAAACTATGCACACCGTCAGACTACTAGTAAAGACGCGCGAGGTTCTGAAATACGATCTGATGGAGACGTCACTAATATTTAACTTCGACAGTTACACTGATCAATGTCAAGTTTTAACCCATACATTTTTAACATAAATTTTGAGAACTTCATTACAATTGCAACGACGAACAGAAAATCTCAAATCAGAAACATTTCTTCAGTTCCCACAGCTTTACTTGGCAAGGTTATAATCAGATAATTTGGTTTTATACACGGAGTTGACAATTTAAATTGGCAAAGCACTTTAAAGAGTCAGTAAAACTGACGTTTCGAGTGTTAGCTACTCGTGAGAGTGAATACATTAACTAAGCGAATGGAAGAGGGCGAAACAAAACCGGGTATTTAAAATGTCGAAAGCTGATTTTATATTTCATACAGCTCAAGCAGAATTTCGGAGATCTGGGGTTAGTTTAGCATAGGTAATCGGATAGGGCCGAGTAAAATAAAGGATTAATATCACTTAAGTTTTCTGAAGTCGTTGAAATTGCCCGAATCGCTTCGCGACTCGGGCAATTTCAGCAACTTCTGAAAACCCAAGTGATATTAATTGTTAATTTTACAAGGACCCATTCGATTACTTGTTAATGAAATTGAGGTGAAAATTACTGAATTTCTGAATGCGCTCTTCAGTAATCAGTCATAGGAAGCCATTTAAAGTTGACAGAGAATCAATGGCGACAAACCCACAAATGAGCTGAATGAAATTTAATTTTTGCTCAAAGATACCAGGACTTTGGATAGGCTTTTGATTTTAGATATTTCACCAGTGATGCCTGCATTACTTTCAGGCAGTCGGGCTCATATTCATCCCCGTTTTCTTTTCGTAGCTCGGCATAAGACTGCGCCAGTGTTCGGTCGAGGACATCGCTCTCGTACTCTTCTAAATTTGCTTGGAAGTTTCTTTCATTCGCCCACTTTTTAAAAACGTTCTTCCAGTACTCCGTGCTTTTCCTCGTGTTTTATTTTTCACTCTTGTCTTTTAATTCTTCGATATATTCCTCGCCAACTATCTCTAGTAATTTGGCCCTCCTCTGAAGCAAAATTAAGAAAAAATACCCTCTTCATTGACAAATCAGCATTCAGTCATTTTGCCCTCTATTTTATAAATAAAATACACTTGTAGCTTTTACACGTGTAATTTACTCGGGTAAAGTCTGACTTGTAAATACAAGTATTTAATAAAACAATATTCTTCACCGGAATTAACACGTGTATCTCGAGTCAGAGCACAATTGTAAATTACAGTTGTAGAGTTATAGGAGCCTTCTTACAACTGTTAACTCCGCTAGAATGTAATAAGTGATTTTTTTACATATGCAATTAAAAGTCGCTGGTGTCCTTTCAATGTATGCGGCTTTGCTTCCTTTGCTTACAGTTTTATTTGTAAACAGACGTTAAGCATGTTCTTCGAATAGCAAAAGTTGCTTTTGGCTCAGCTCGTGAAGGAACATAAAAGGATAGTTTTGGCGCCATTTTCGCTGACAGTGACGAAGAGAGTAAAGCAAGAAGCGTGGGAAAAGATTCGTAGGCAATTAAACGGCGTTGGCGCAGGTATAGACAGCGCCAAAACACTTCTAGATGTTTTATGGGCCAGTATTCGCAGGACTACTCTCAAAAACGTTAGCGAATCTAGATGTTTTATGGGCCAGTATTCGCAGGACTACTCTTAAAAACGTTAGCGAATCTAAGACGACGGGTGCAGGGGGAAGTTGAGAGCCCACAGAGCTAGACGAGACAGTCATCGATGTTTTAGGCCACGAAAGTACAAACATAGAGCCCTTGAAAGTCGACGATTCAGATATTGTATTTGGAGTGGAGATCATTGTTACAACAACTCCTAGAATTGAAGGTAAAATAATTGTAACCCATATTTAAAGGTTTCAACCATCTTAAACGTGCTTTGTAGGTAATGAAATGAGAATGTTTTTTAATGCGTTTTCAAAAGGGCGAGGAACTATTGTATGATGCCAAACTGGAGTAAAAGTTTTATAAACCAACTCAAATCTTTAGCCGTTTCGGATGAGGTTTCGGAAGTGGTATCTCATCTTGGATCCTGAAACCCTAGACCCCACCCTGCGACACTTATCCTTCCCCAACGCGGACAAACCGGAGCGACTTCTAACCCAACATATGATGAAGTTACGTTCAATTTCTTTTGCACTAGGTGGCGTTGGAAGTTACACTGAGGAGGTGCGAGTTTCTACTGCAGAAACAGGGATTGGTGAAGCAAAAGAAGTAAGTGGACATAGTGGTGCAAGCTCACCACAAATGTTACCCAGGCAGGCAATCGCCGAAACACCAACGCCAACAAAATTAGACGCAAAGCTCTGCCATTAGCTGGAAAGAAAGGAGCTCTCAAGGCTAATGGTAAATCATCAGCTGCAGAAAAGAAGAGAACGAGATACTGCGGCTTAGAGAGAGAAAGCTCCAAGTAGAGAACGTTAAGCTGAGATTGGAGATAAAAAAACTGAGAAAGGATCTTGAAAATTAATTTCTTTAAACGGCGTCCAGAATGTAAATTAAAATAATTATATAAAAGTAGCCTTTGGACATTTGTTGAACTTACTATATTGTAATGCTATTGATAGTCTAAAAAATAATGTAAATTGGTGATGGGCGATATCAGAATTATGACCTACATGTACACTCATTTTTTCCTTTGGAAGTTAGGTGTAAGTAACTTTGTGTAATAAAAGGTAATGATTATCGTCACTGAATAAAAAATGGCCCATTTAATTGGCTCGATATTAAAACAGTGGCAGTTTTTAATTCAGCGTCATTTGTATAAGTCCTCACATTTATAGGAAGTGCTGCAACAGCTGCTGCCTTCTGTCCTCTTGTTCCTCTCCAGGACCGATATCCAATTCATCGTGGACATTGTTGAGATCTGCATCGTCCAGCAGATGTGGACGAAGGTGTCCACAGGCAGTGGAAACTTCTCTCGAAATTCCCTTGGATTTTCGGTGTCGAAAAGCCGTCTGTTTTGGAAATTCCTAGGTCGACGGATAACTTGACGTCTTAGCAGTTCGTCGAGTTCCTCTTCACAAGAAGATGACATATTGTGACACTCCCATGTCCTTTTTCAGAAGAAGTACTCAGTGTTTTAAAGTGACATGCGACATGTATTTTGCAGCTGTGGTTTACAAGTCGAACTCTTGTAAAAATACAAGTTGGACTCTTGTAAAAGTTTTATTAAATTGGATACTTACCATCTTTTACACTTGTAGCGCTACACCTGTAATTACAAGTCGGACACTTGTAACCTGGACTTGTTACGATGTTTATTAAACTCGTTTTCGTCTGCACTTGTATATATAACGGTCCAACTTGTAGATTACGAGTGTAGAAGTTTTATTAAATTGACCCCT